GGTCAGCTGTCCCAGCTATGCTCCCTCCTGGTTTTGTTTGCACACCCTCTCCACCCCCTCCCTGGCAGAGCATGCAGCAGGGAAAAAAGTAAGTCCTTGGCTTAGGATTAGCATGACTCAACAAAACCCAAAGCATCAGTGTGTTATCAACACCATTCTCACTCTGAATCCAAAACACAGCACTGGAACGGCTACTGAGGGGAAATTAAGTTTACTATAGCTGTAACGAGGACACAGGCATTTCTATATGGTATTGTAACTCTAAAAGAAAAAAAAAACTTTTGGGAAAAAATTAGTCTTTTGTGCTGACTTGACAAAATCCAAGAGATTTCCCAACTAAAATCCCTGTCGTGTTTTGATTTGTCTGTGATTGCATATTCCAGCTAAGAAAAATGCATCTGATTTTTCGTGTTTCTAGTTCATCACTGAAAAACAACTTGGTTTTTTTTCTCTCTAGGGATAGTTAAATTTTCAATCAAGTCAAGTTTTTATTGAGTTCAGAATTCTTCAGAGAAAATTGTTACCGTCAAGCTTTTCACAACTGCAAACTTAGTTAAGGTATTTAAAAGTGATGTCACCAATTATCACACAAGACTTCAACATACAACACCCTCCTTTCACAGCACACACAGAGCTGCCTGTTACTCTAGCTTTTTCTTACTTTCACATTCGTAGCGACCCCATCTGTTCAACCACTGTATTAGCTGGCTCATCAGACACTTCATTTCAACAAGATGAGGCTCTGTGTTGCTCATCAGGTATAAACACTTCTCTAACAAAGCTTTCCGCAACCGGTGTAAATGCTGATACGACGATAGTTTTAACCCATTTCCTACTTCCTTTTGTTACCCCCATGTGGAGGACGAGAATAAGTGCAAAGGAAAACAGCAGTACTAACCCACATGCTCCGACCCTGTATACACACGCAGGCTTTAGGGAAGACATAGACCATTATTTGCAGTAGTACTGATGACCTGTTCTCAGGTTACTCGTGTTGCTTAGCTATCACAAAGGTTCTGACTTGGACTGCTCATGAAAATACTGAAAACTACATACTCTTTAGGATGAATAACAAATTGCCTTAAGAACTGTGGAAGGTATGCAACAGGAGCAACCACAAAACTCAAAATCAGCAAAAGACTATCTTTAACACTGGTCATACATACATTCAGTAAACACTGATGATTGCTACATTAACAGAAGACAGGACCAAAATGCTTCCTTTATTATTTTTTTCAATCTAGGAAAAAAAAAAAGATTCCTTCACCAACTGTGCTAGTTTTAGCTGGGTACAGCATTTGTTTTACTAGTGCCCTGTGACTTGGGATTCAAAAGGGAATTGAACTTTTACATCTAGCAAAGTGAAAGTTGCTGGGACTGAGGAAAAGTGTGCAATGCTGGAGAGAGTAGCTACAGATGCATGACACAGAAGTTACTCTGGAACTGCAGTTCTCGTTATTATAAATACACAGATCCACCACAGTAACAGACTATTCCTGTACAGAAAGCAGCACACCAGGCCTGTGGCAGCATAGGCCTGGTGTGGCTGCTCTCAGATTTTTCTCAGGCTCCATAACCGTGTTGCTGCAGCAGCATCAATATGTGCTTTGGCTGCACTGTTCAGTGCCTGTGTAGGCTTTTACACCAATAGCCATGCTGTCAGAAATGGCAGACTGCAATGAGCTAGAAAAATATTCACAGATCCCAGGGTGCAGAACCCAGAGCACAGAAGACTTAGACTACGTTGAGTTACCCAATAAAGAGCCTTCTTACCCACTGCAAAGTTACCTCAGTGGCAGTCTGCACAACATTCAGGCCACCTGAGGCAACACTGGCTAGAGAAATGCTGGGCTCACCGGAGAGCTACTTCAGTGGAAGGAAAGTTCAGCCAGCAGAGATTTCTGAAGTAGCTGCTTCTCCAATCATGTAAGGTCAACTTGGAGCTGGCAGCTCTCACCCTAAAATTAATTTTACCTGACAATTATTTTTCCTCCAGTTTACATGATCTTCTCCTCTGGGAACTAGGGACAAACATCTGATTGTATATTAAATTCTGCTTTCCAAATCTTCTAGTGAATTATCAAAATGAATGCAGATGTTCTAGGCTCAATGGGAGAGATACCCTACATCCTGGTTCTGGCCAGGACAGGATTAATTTCTGCAGTATCCTGGGAGACTAAAACCTAGAGGTTATTCTATGACTTTGTATCATTTTCCAGAAACAGGAGAAGGAGCTTGGAGACAAGGTAGCATGACAGGCGTGCATTTTTGGGCTCCACATAGTGGTGAGCAATTGCACATTAGCTGCTCACCTCTCTCAATCGTATAGTCACTGTTACTATTTGTTTTCTTATCTCATTCTTGTTTCCAATAAATTGTTCTTATCTCAACCCATGATCTTCACCTTCTGTGCCTCCAACTCTCCTCTCATTCTGCTACAGGGGCTGGGGAAATGTGTGGTTTGGAGCGGTTTCAGTGGAAACACAAAATTGGAGAGCACCACGTCTAAAGCACAACACCCCCATCAGGGTAGCTGAGTTCTATTTCCACCTACCAGCCCAGGCACTGTATGTATGGGAAGACAGGATGTAACCAAGGAAGAACAGTTCCACTTTCCTCAAAAGCCAGAGGACTGACCTCACACCTAAGAATGACCTCAATAATGGAAAGATGTAAGACTCTATTCTCCACTTCAGACTTTGCATCCTACAAAGGGACACAAAGGATGTAACTTGTAAAAATTAATGGAGGCTGTATTAAAGGTTATCTGGAATTAAATCTCAAGTAAAATGGCATTACAGTAGAGTGAATCTCAAACATTGGGATGAAGAGCAACAGAAGTGAAACCTAAAAAAAGTTATCACACCAGTAACTGCAAAAACTCAAAACCATTTCTCTGTGGAAGTCCAAGTAACAATCACACTGAAGTGTATGCCTTTCTTCACCTGATGTTTGGTGAACTTTGTCAAATAGGTTTAAGCAAAAGGCATAGAGTTATCAATGGAGTAACAGCCTACACTTGTTCATCTGTGGGTCTTAAACACCAGTACACATGATTATCACCTACGGGTCTTTTTGACAACTAACCACCAATAAACCCTTCTTCTGTTTTGGGGATACTGAGAAAGGGGTGAGGATGGCATTACAAACAATTTTGCTTAAAAGGAGATAAATATTGAGCTGCATATAATTTACAGTTAAGAAAATAAATCTGGACACAGTGTTTTCCAGACACCATAATGACTGGGATTTTTCTGCTTCACTGCAGAAAAATAATGCATTGTGTTATAAACAGCTGAGTAGTAGTTAGCTTTTGCTACAATTTGTCTGCTTTTATTAAGTATTGTAATTGTTTCTTGTAACCTTTAAACTGCTTTTAAGTATAGTTACCTTCGTAATTGTTTGTGGGCAATGTAAAAAGGGGAAGCAAGATGTAAAGGAAAAGCACCAAGCCTAAAGTGGCATCAGAAGAGTATCAGAAGACCACCCTAGACTGACAGGAATTGTGCAATGAAGTGCTAATCTGAAGCAAGATTGTGCTCAGTGATCTTGGGAAGGTGGCAAGAAAATTTGAGGAAGTAAAACCACTGAAAAAAGTATAAAAAACTTCTTGCTGAAAAAGTTCATGCGGCTCTGGCCTTGCCATGCACTCAAGCCTGTAACTTTTGCTTTATGTTTTGTCCCCTATTTTTATTTTTTAAACTCTTAAAATTTTACAGGCGTGGGTTTCGTTTCTCACAATTGTGAAAACTCGAATTTCAGCCTGACCACCGGCCTGCTCGCCCCTGGTGCCACCACTGAGCAGCTCTTCAAACACACAGGAGACAAGTCTTACGGGAGAAAGCTTTGCACTGCTCACTTCGCTCGGAGCTTAGAGTTCCGCGCACGTTTAAAAACAGAGCCCACAGCTACAGACGCGCCACGTTCCCTCTCACTGACAAACCCAAGACACCGCATGCAAGTCAGATACCAGGAAAAGGAGATTTCTCGGAATCAAAAAAAAAAAAAAAAAAAAAAAAAAAAAAAAAAAAAAAAAAAAAATCAATCGTCTCTTCCGGGACGGCCGCGGGCGCCCTTGCTGCACGGGCCTGGGCGAGGGAGCGCTCGGGCGGGCGCCGCCCCCCACAGCGGCACAGCCGCGTTCCCGACAGGCGGCGCAGGAGGAAGGTGGGAAGGCGGCAGGAAGCAGGGAAGG